TAGGAAAACCATAAACTTGTTTGAAAATGTGGAGGGAGAGGCCATGTGAAAAGCTATTCTTACCTATACAAATAAAAATAAAATGGGACTCGGTATGGTTAAAATAAGGATTCCTAAATTCATCTGGCTGGAGACACAGTTCAAAATCAGACTGTTTAGGAAAGATCTTTTTATATCTTCTGTTTTTGCAGAGTGACTGTCCCTTTGCTAACCATTTACTGAGCCCTTCTTATATGAAGACATTCTGTTCAAAGTTGTGAAGAACATAAATATGAATAAGCCATAGTCCCTGACCTCAGCACTTATAAAAAAAGATTTTGTTTTGATAACTCCAGTTCCATCTTCCACATCTCAATTGAAACCAAAAAACTTTCAGTTCCCAAATTATCTTCCCATGCTATCTGAAACCTGGCCCTTTATCGTCTTCACCTTTGAGCCCTGTTCACTATCTCCCATTCCAACCCAATCTTTTCCCAAGAGCTAAACTGTGCTTCAGCTTAAAAACACTGACACAGAAAGTACTTCATTTCCTCTGATCTGTGTCTACAGAGGAAGCCGAAGGAGCAGCTCAGTTCATAGGAACTGGGTAGACATAGCAACTCTATCAGTCCAGGTATGACATGTGGTCAGAAACAAGACAGTAAGTGTAGAAGAGACATAGCTTTATGAGGCAGGAGATTAGGAGGAGACTGGAGAAGCCAATGCCATAGTCCTGGGCTCCCTAAAGTCTCTCTGAACACCTCTTCTTTGGTTGAGAAACTCTGAGAATGCTAGAGGTGCTTTCTCCAGAAAATAAGTATGAAATATGAAAGAAGAGAGACTCACCCAAAAAATCCAATTACCTTTGATAAAGCAGACTTGCCTAAAAGGGTGGGCCTCTCAATGAATTGCACTTTTTCCTTTTTTGCCCCATTTAAATGTTTATGGGGACAAAGGTCTTATTTTCTAGAATTCCTTTGTTATTTTTCAGTGTTTACAACTAGAAGCATAGAAATCTAACAACCTGGCTTCCTCAAACTATAAGTAATTTATGCCACAAAGGAATTTAATTGTATCCAAAGTTAAGAACAAGTATATGGGGACTTTTGTGGACTATAATTTACTAGAGGCCTGGTATATGAAATTTGTACACTGGAAGGAGGTGTCCCTCAGCCCAGCCTCTCCAATCCAGGACTCCTCAGGGGATGTCCAACTGCCTGTGAAATCAGGCCTAAACCAGCAGACGGACAACAATCTCACAATCCAGGACTGCTGGCTCCCAAATGCTCACCTGCCTGTTTGTCTGATTGCCCCTAACTATTTCTACCTGCCAGCCTGATCACCCCTAACCACTCCCCTGCCAGCCTGATCAATGCCTAACTGCTCCCCTGCCGGTCCAATTGCCCCCAACTGCCTCCCTGCAGACCTGGTCCCCCCTAACTTCCCTCCACTGCTGGCCTGGTCACCCACAAATGCCCTCCTTTTTCGGCCATCTCATGGTGCCCATCTTGTGACCGCATGGTGATGGCCATCTTTTGCAAGGATGTGATGGCCAATTTGCATATTACCTCTTTACTATATAAGATACTTATCTTCATATAATAATTGATCTTCAAATCATGACTAAGAGAATACATTCTTAGTTATCTATCAATATCATCAGACTTCTTCAGAGAAATAATGGCTATCAAAGACATAGGACATTGCATATTTATTTATTTATTTATTTATTTTAGAGGTCTGGTGCACAAAATTCGTGCATGGTGGGGAGGGTGTCCCTCAGTCCAGCCTGCACCCTCACCAATCTGGGACATCCCTCTCACAATCCAGGACTGCTGGTTCCCAACTGCTCATCTGCCTGCCTTCCTGATTGCCCCTAACTGCTTCTGCCTGCCAGCCTGAACACCCCCTAACCACTCCCCTGCCAGCCTGATTGATGCCTAATTGCTCCCCTGCCAGCCTGTTTGCCCCTAACTGCCCTCCCCTGCAGGCCTGGTCCCCCCAATTGCTCTCCCCTGCAGGCCTGGGTCCCCCCCAACTGCCCTTCCCTGTAAGCTAGTCACCCCAACTTCCCTCTTCTGCCAGCCTGATCACCCCTAACTGCCCTTCTCTGAAGGCTTAATCACCCCAAACTGCCCTTCCTTGCAGGCCTGATCTCTCCCAACTGCCCTCCCCTACTGGCCATCTTGTGGCGACCATCTTGTGTCCACATGGGGGCAACCTTTTTTTACCACATGGGGGCAGTCATCTTGTGTGTTGGAGTGACAGTCAATTTGCATATTACTCTCTTTTTTTTAGATAGGAGACATATATATATATGTGTGTGTGTGTGTATATATATGTATATATATATGTATATATATATACATATATATATGTATATATATACACACACATATATATATATATATCCTAACTTTTAAAATTGCAGTTGTAGTGATTATATTTACTCTTTATATTTTTGCACCTTAGCCAATAGATTTGAGACCTAGAACTAGAGACCAAATCATCAGATTGCATTGCTTACTTAATGCTAGCCTGTTACACTAAGTTCTGTGAGCATAGTGTGGTGCCATACTTGATGGTGAATATTTATAGCGCGGTAGAATCCAGATCTCATTTGACATGAGAATGACACAACCTGGAGATAAGCATTGTTGCTAAATCAGGACCATCACATCACTCTGGTGATATCCCACTAGATGAGTTCATTACACTAAGCACATATGGTTAAAAGGGCAAGTTCTACCATGAAATATATATTAATGTATGGGTCCTTTGGAAGCTCTTACATACACAAAGCTTTTACATGACCAAACTATAAATGAAATACAAATCCTAGAAAGCTAATCACATTTTCAGAAAAAGTACATGGCGAATTTTGTGGATGCAGAAGGGTTCCCAGAATCAGTGATGTTTAACCATGTCTTCATTTTCTAGTATATTGTTTTCTGTATCAGTGCTTTCAACTACATTTCCAAATGATAAAATTGACTTTTATACCAGAAAATATTATAAATCACTCCTAAACTCAAATAGACCATAGCATTTATAAAAATTCAAATATATTTTATCCCAGAAATATGAAAGGTTCATAGTCCCTCAACATCAAAAAATACTTCAACATAAATAAGATGGGTGATACCCAAGAATGTTCAAATTCAGAAAAAAATTCAAAGATACTCAGAGTTTCACTCATCGATTAAAGGGACAACCCCCTTCTCCCCCTCACTTCCCCCACCCCCTGCAAAATAAATAAATAAATAAATGTTTAAGACCAAATCATAGGTTAAGACCTTAGGTAATTTGATTCCTAGAAGAATCTGTGAGTCTGAATACATGTAACACTAAACTTATACTAATTGAAGAAATTTCTATCACTGCACCTTGAACACTAAAAGGAAATGGGCATTCTCAAGGCTTACCCCTTGATAATGTCCGCATATTACTACATATGAAAGTCAAATCACCAGTTCTACATCAAAATCTTAAACTCTAGTGAAGATCTGAGATTTATCCCTATAGGATAAACATGAAAAAACTACCTAATTGCCTCTTGGTTTTCAGTCCCCAAATGATCACTAAATGTTTCCATTTTCTTCCATTTCAATATTAACAGTATTGCATTTTTCTTCCCATATTTACCATTATTCATAGGTCTCTTGCCATCTTTCATAAGTTCTAAGCTATAATATCATTGACACTATACTAAGGAAATAATAAAGTGAAAGTGAGTGGAGTCACATAAAATATTTTGATTTGGTAATACTCAAAACACTTCATTATTTTATATCTCTTTTAAAATACAGCCTCGCAAATCAGTATTTTTTAAATCTAGAGATTTTTAGGCATATCTTTTTTTATATATAATGCATAGAAAACTAGATGGCTATGCCCATTTTAAGAAAGGCCAATATAAAATCTTGTGGAAAACTATGGCAGTTAGTTTAAGGATTAACCACTTTGGAATCATCAGTAGTACATTTTTTTCCCTTAATCACAGAAACAGAACTTAAGGAAATCTGAATTCAGGAGGCACAGAATAACTGATAGCAAATGGATGGTGGCCACTGATAGATAGAGAACTACTAAAAATCAAACTGAGCCCTTGCTGGTTTAGATAAATTTTTGGCCTGCAGACTGAAGGGTCCCAGGATCCACAGGGTTGCAGGCTCAATCCTGAGGGGCAGGCAAGGGCATGCAAGAGGAAGCCAATCAATGATTTTCTCTCTCATCATTGATGTTTCTATCTCTCTCATCCTCTCCCTTCCTCTCTGAAATCAATAAAAAAAATATTTTTTTTAAATTAAACTGAAAAAGTTCTGAAATTACAGAACAAGGCTATGGAATTCACAGAAATCTGCTTTACGTATATGTTTTCACAAACATATCCACTGGATATGTAGGTAATATGACAGCTAATATAGCAATATTTTGTACTCTTTCAAAATAATGTTTGTTATGCACTACAGAAGCTTAACGCATTCCAAGGAAGTGTAAGTAAGGGTGTGCACCAGTAGGTAACTTGAGCTTTTAAAGAGGGAGAAAGGAGTGTTTGTCCCCACACGCAAATGCATGTGCTGTCACCACAAAACCCTGACTGGCTAGTCCTGAACAAAATGTGTTTGCTCAAAATCAAAAGCCACCGTTGCAGGTCTTAGTAGGAACTTATTGCCCAAGGGAAGAGTGGGATTGTCCCTTAGGACAGTGATTCAATAGGTGCTATTTCCTACATATTGAAATTAGTGAATAATTCTAAAACTGTCCTAGAAGGAAAAAAGGCTTGAGCTTTAAAAAATTGAAGTTGGCTGCATCGAAAATGTTCCCAGTGCTAAAAGGCTCCTTCCCCATCCTTTGGTATTTTTTTCTTTCTTTCTTTCTTGCCCCTGCCCCATTATTTATTGGTTTCTTTATTTTTTTTGGTAGGCTTGCTCTTCTCATTTTGTTGCAAGGCTGCATTTTAACTTATCTGATTCTGCAGTTTAACACGGCCTGTGACACCTGTGTTCATTTGTTCTCAGCTGGTGAATGAACAGCAAGAAAGCAGACCCCTCCTGAGTCCCTCCATCGATGACTTTCTCTGTGAAACCAAATCGGAGGCAATAGCAAGGCCAGTAACGTCCAACACAGCTGGTAATTCTTTCACTTTTAACTGATCCTTGGGTCAAGTTAATTTTCACTGTAGTAAAATACACTTTTTTTCTTTCCACAATGCATTTTAACTCGAGAAAAATGTTTGCAACTGACTAAAACTTTAGAACATTTACTATTCAACATAAGCCAATGAACCACTTTTCATTATACTATAAGAAACTGCAATGTATATACACTGGCCACATTATTATGATGTCTGAACGCATAATAATCTGGCCACTCAGTGTATTTGTATCTCAAATGGGTACCAAAAGTATTCTGTCTTTTGCTAGAGATCAACCACCTATTTGCCCTGAGCTTTCTATCAGCCAGTGCAAAGGGGAAAACTGATCAGGTGCATGATTTATAGTATCTTTGATATCAAATAAATGAGGTACTCAAGGGAAGTACACTGAGTGGCCAGATTATTATGCGTTCAGAGATAATGATAATCTGGCCACTCTGTATATTACACAATCAATGTTAGCATGCCACTATTAGCAATGAATGGTTTTTCCATATATATTTTCATATTTACATTTCCTCTCAAGTCACATCACATTAGGAAATCTTTAAAACAACAGCATCTACTTCAGAGTAAGGGTTTTCAAGCTCTGCCGGGGAAATACTTTGTATGACAAAAGTCGAGTAAAATAAAAATATAAGCTACCCCTTTGGGTGGATTGAAATGAAAATTAAAATGTCCTAGAGGCTTGGGATATTACAGGCACTAACAGGTTTCATCCAGTGAGGGAGTAGGAGGCAGCAGGTATGAATGCCACCTCCTCAAGCACCCTCAGCATTTCCCAATTCTCACCAATACTAAGTCACTCAGGTAGGGCCCACCCTGAGGGCGCAACAAAAGATTTGACTCAAAAGCTAATTTTCACCTTCGATATCAGAGGCAGCTTTTAGCATTTATTTCATTTAGTCAGCATTCACATTCAGAGGCATGTTGTTCAAATAAGAATGAGAAAATGATGTTCAGAATCAGAGAACAAAGGTTATGTTGGCTTGCAGGAGAGAATTTGAGGAGAAAGGAGGTGGTAATCACATCCTGTCTTGTTAAATTTCTTCCATCTCCCATCATGTCCTCAGCTGGCTGTTGCCTGCTATATTTTCATTGTACGCTTATGTGAACAAAACCACAGGTGAAGGAAATTGTGTTGTTTTTTTTAAAACAGATGCTAAAGATTACAACAAAAGTAACTAACACAAGACAGAGACACTTTTGTGGGAGTGTTGTCTACAGTCTCTGGGGTCAAAGTTCATAATTTCAAATCTCAACTCGGCCACTTAGCAGCTCAGTGTCCTCGTACAAGCTGCTTAACTAGGTCTGCTTCCTCATCCATCTAATGGTAAGATCTAGATCCCCTAGGTTATTTGGGAAAACTAAAAGAAGCAATCTATGTAAGTCTTAACACCAAGTGAGCTCTCACAGGTATTAATTACCATTCCTGTTAGCTATCAGTTAAAAAGCCGGGACACCCAACACTTCTCTTTTCAAATGCATTAACTTTCCATATGTCACACCAAAGCAATCATTTTCTGCTCTCAGCTGTCACTTAGAGTAATCAAGCAAATGGAATGGTGTTTGCTGAGTTTTAAGCAGGAAATTTGGTAAATTCACATGCTATCAGCTCAGAGTCATCCTTCTGAGCTCTGAAACTGGAGCTTCCCCTCCAAAAGTGTGGAGCTGCGCCCAGAAGAATCCAGAGAATGCTACAACCGAGTCACTTAGGAAGAGCCCGCAAGAAAGGGCAATATGCTATTTGGCTCAAAAGCTAGTTTCACCTTGGTTTTTCTAACAGTGGAGTGACCTGTGAAATATTGGAGGAAAATGTCAAAAGGATGCGTCACCTCCTGCAATCCCAATACCTACAATATTGCCTCTATTATTAGTTTTCTAGGACTGCCATGGCAAAATATCGTAAACTCCATAGATTAAACAACAGAAATATGTTGTCTCCCAGTTCTGGAGCCCAGAACTGCAAAATCAAGGTCAGTAGGACCATGCTCCCCCTGAAGGTGCTTGGGAAGGATCTCTCCTAGGCCTCTCTTCTGGTTTCTGGTAGTTCCTTGGCTTGAGGCAGCATAACTGCAATCTTCCCCTGACATTCTTCCTGTGTGTGTCTTTTTCTGGGGAAGAAAAAAAATCTAAAGGTTTCCCCTTTTTATAAGGATACCAGTAGGTAGGCCCTACTCCATCATGAAACATCTTAACTAATTCTATCTCCAGTGACCCTATTTCCAAATGAAGTCACCTTTTTGGTACTGGAGGTTAAGACTTTCACAGAGGAGTTTTGGGGAGAACACAACTCAATTTGTAATGCCCTCAAAGTAGGGGGTTGGGAAAAGTGATATCTTGACTGGATTTTCCTTTTCTCAGCCTCAGCATTCAGGGCACCTGGATTAAACAGGTTTTGATCCTGAAGGAAGACTCTTGTTTGATAGTGTGCTTCTTAATATTAAAAATGTATCTCAGGGCAGAAACACTATATGTTTTTAATTCTTAAGGAACATAGTTCTTTTTTTATTTATTACAAAACTATAATTTACATCTTAATATGTAACATAATTCACATCTTTAAACAGAAAAAAGAAAAATTAGCATTCAAGCATCCTGGAAAGAATTCTAATTCTAATTTGTTCCAATAATTTTACAGTTAAAGTTTTTAGGCAGGAGATAGAGTGACCATTTTCTCTCCAAATTTTTAATAGAAATAATCATTTTAAAGTGGAACATAGAATAGTATGAAATCACATTGAGAAATCAGGACAGTCATTGTATATGACATTCTAGACATTACACTTCAAAGGGATGTTAAACAAACTGGTAGTAAAATATGGAAGAAAAAAAAAAACAACCCTGCTTCATGTTTGTACCAAGTCAATCAAACTGAAATTTGAAGAACCTCCTATTAAGTTGAAAAGCATGTGTTCTGACTATTTTCTTCCAATTAAAAGTTAAAGTCAGTGTGCTACCATCTTGACATTTACTTAAATGTTTAAGGAATCTATATTCTTATATAAATTAACACAAAATAAACAATATAGGAAATATCCATCTCTTCCAAACATCAGTTAAATAATGAGTTGGTTTTTTCTCTACTAACCCTAAAAGAACATATCAATCTTTTTGATGTTCTAAATTGTAAATTATATTTTTCTAAATTATAACTTTTCCTTAAGTATTTCAGTGATATTTACTTTCTGCTTGTTCTTCTAGACACTTCTTGTCATCCAATGATGACAATTTCAAGCTGATTAAATAAAGATATTTTTCTTTTGTTTTCTTTTTTCTTTGCTATTAACAACCTAAATTATTTTTAACTGATTTATAACCTAGGTAGGTAGCTTATTCTTTGACCTTCTCAAACGGTATCCATAGGTGGTAGGTAAGCCAAGATATTGCTAATATCCTAGATTTTAAAATGGCAAATAAATTATACACAGATACATATGTCAAATGTTATGAAAGTAGCTATACAATAGATATGTTAAGATAGTGATTATATATTATAGGGAAAGTAATTACTATATATCTTGCAATAATAACTTCTCTGTATCCCCCCCCAAAAAAAAAATAGTATATGTTGAAGTACAGGAATTCTTCTAAAACCCAAGAAAAATAGTTACTTGGTTTGCATTTATCAATATACATAATCTAAAAAAATTGTATCCATAAACCTGAGCCATTGGGTAGACAGTTACTATATAAAAAAGACATTTCATGGTTTAAAAAATAGTAATCTCACTCCTTGACATGGGGCCTGTAAACAATACCTATACTAGTACAAGAGATTCCTATGTGTAAGGGAAGAACTCTCAATGAAATTCACAATTCCAAAACAGCCACCTAATTAAATACCTTGCTTTTATTGTCTAAAGTTTTACATATGTCTCCTTTTTCCCCAATTGACACCCCCCCCCAGCTAATAAATATCTTAACTGCAAAATTAGTGTAATATTTTTTAAATACACTAGAGGCCCAGTGCATGATATTTGTGCACTAATGGGAGGGGGGGGCAGTCCTCAGCCTAACTTGTGCCCTCTCACAATCCAGGAGCCCTCAGGGGATGTCTGACTGATGGCTTAGGCCTACTTCCCATGGGGAGTGGGCCCAGCCAGCAGTTGAACATCCTTAGCACTGACGCGGAGGCAGGAGAAGCTCCCACCATCACAGCTGTGCTTATTGGCCATGAACCCAGCTTCTGGATGAGCAGCACTCACCTCATGGGAGAGCACTGAGCACCAGGGGGCAACTCCTATCTTGAGCGTCTGCCCCCTGGTAGTCAGTGTGCATCATAGCGACCGGTCATTCCACCATCAGGCCAAAACTGGCTCTCCGACATCCCTCAAGGAGTCCCAGATTGCAAGAGGATGCAGGTCAGGCCGAGGGACCCCACCAGTTCACAATCAGGACAGAAGGGGGATGCAGAAGGTTAGCCAGATGGGGAGGGACTACAGGAGGGCTCCAGGGCATGTCTGGCCTTTCTCATTGAGTCCCAATGGGCCAGATCCCAGCAGCAAGCTAACCCATCAATCAGGGTGTCTGCCCCCTGGTGGCCAGTGCATGTCATAGCAAGCAGTTGAGCAGCCTTAGCATGTCGTTTGCTTGGTTGAATGGATGACCGAATGGATGACCGGACACTTAGTATATTAGTCTTTTATTATATAGCAGCAGTTGCCAAACTTTCAGTCATGGACCACCAGTGGTCCGCGGTTGACGACCACTGTTGTATAGGATATTTATGAAGCCCAAGTAGTCATGATCCAAATGGCATGCCTCTAGAGGGAACATAGAAATTTGGTAAGTAGCATTAATTCCATATTCCAATAAAAAGGCAAAAGTTGCTTGAATTATTTGGGTCTAATTTATCTATTTCACATCCCTGGCAAAATCCTTCCTGGAAGGACTTTTCTTGGAAGCCACTAGGCTAAATAAATCTTACAGAACAGAACAGCGATCCTACGGGCTCCCTGTAGCATGTGCTGTGTCTGCACGTCAGGGTTGTCCCGTGATTCGTCCTCTCTGACCATTCCAGGTAGATGTATTTCTTTAGAGAAATTCACTAAAAGCCCGAGGCTCATTATACTGTAGTGGTGTTAATAGCATTGTGTGTCCCATCCAAGTATCAAATAAGAGCTTCATTAGAGGTGCTATTTTATTCTCACTGTTTTAAGCAGCCTCACCTCCCAGGGCCCATGTAATCTCATATTCATAAACATCTGCCATGCCCTGAGGAAGTCCTCCAGTTCCACAGGATGTGATCCTCAAGCAGGTGTCCTTGAAATAGATGGGCACAAATACTTACGTATTCTATCTTCAGGAAATGTCAATGAAATTAGGTTATAAAAACAAAAGTTTCTGGAATTGCCTACTATTTAAATTACTCCTGAGACTACCCAATCTGCCAAATAATTGGGAGCTAAACAGAAAATAATCAAAGCCACATCAATAGAATTAGCACATTGCCTCCAGGTTCAAGTCAAGTCTAAAGTGGAGTGGGGAAGGACACACACTTGGGAGTGGCAGGGCCTGTGTTTGAATCCTCTTATGTGCAGTGTACTATCAGGTGTTTGCGTTTCCTGTTGTAACAAATTCCCGTGAATTTAGTAGCTTAAAACAACACAAATGTATTACCCTACAATTCCAAGTCAACAGGCCTAAGATTAAGGTGTTGGCAGGGCTGCATTCCTCCTGGAGGCTCTAAAGGAAAATTCGTTTCATTAACTTTTCTAAACTTCTAGTACTTGAAATTCCTTTGTTTGTGGTCCCTTCCTCCATCTCCAAAGCCAATAGCACAGCATCATCAAGCCTCTCTCTCTCTTTCTCCCTTCTCCCTCTCTCTTCCCCACCCCATTCTCTCTCTCTCTCTCTCTCTCTCTCTCTCTCTCTCTCTCTCTCTCTCTCCCACACCCACTCACACACACTCACTCACACACACACACACAAGCTCAATCCCACACACACACACACACACACACATCTTGCACACATGCATTTTTGCATCCACTATAAGAGCTGGTTATCTTAACTGAAACACACAGATTCTGAAACCCCGACCTTCATATACCTAAGAGAATCTTTTAAATTGGGCTAAGAAAATCAGCAGAGTAGTCACCTGCTTCTGTGCCAAGGTAGTCTTCGCAGCCCACATGCATGCACCCTAAAATGTGATTTATCTTTCTCCAAAACGTGAAAAGCTGCACCCATCCTTCTATGCTTTTGAAATTTTGGTTCCAGAGATTCTCTCAGCTTCAATGTTTTCTATACAACTCAGGCCACTGCCTTCATCGACTGGGTAGCAAGTAAGGCCTCTTATTTGTTTCCCATTTGCTGGGAGAAGAACAAAGTGAAAGAGAGAGAGAGAGAGAGAGAGAGAGAGAGAGAGAGAGAGAGAGAGAGAGAGAGAGAGAGCGCGCTCAGAAGAAGCACAGAAAGTGCTGAGGACAGTTTGGAGAAGGAAAGAATGTTACTGAGCCGAGCTTGAATTCGAAATTCACTATTTTAATAATTCATTTATTCTGAATGGTGAGAAGCAGATATGGAACTAAATTAATATTCACCTGTTACTATTCGTAGCAAGCTTACTTCCTATATACAAGTAGACGAGTCTTATATAAATTGCTTCTAAAAGAGATGTGGGAGCAAGTAACTGATTCCTAATTGTTTTTACAATCAATAGAAAGACATATATGGTGTTCCAGAGACTGTTTTCCACTTCTTTTCCTCCTATTAGAAGGAAATCATGGGTCTAGAACAGTGGTCAGCAAACTGCAGCTCTTTGGCCCCTTGAGTTTTTAGCAAAGGCCAGCTTAGGAGTACCCTAATTAAGTTAATAACAATGTCCCTACCTATATAGTTTAAGTTTAAAAAATTTGGCTCTCAAAAGAAATTTCAATGGTTGTACTGTTGATATTTGGCTCTGTGACTAATGAGTTTGCAGACCACTGGGCTAGAATCCCTGCTGACACACCAGTGGCCTGGAAATTTTTTATTAAACATTCAAAGGATAGGACGTGTGTGGCGTCCTCTGCTATCTGGGCTGCGTGCCACACTTAAATCGTAGCCATCAAATCAGGCCGCTCCACTCTGAAAGCCACTTCTCTCCCCACGCCCAGGTTCCTGCCAGCCAAGAAACACGCCTCAGCTCCCAGCCCGCCTTTGCATTGGAAAGTGGCTCCCATCTCATCAGAACGCTCAGATGAGATAAGCTGACACTTTCAGACCATTTCATGATAAATGGAGCTCATAGCATCTTCTGTAGAACCATTATCTCTGTCTCATCCTCCACTTTATTCCCAGTGGTTTTTCCTCTTTCTGTCAGTGTCTGGAGCTGGTTCCTGCCTGAAATAGAAAGGATCGGGGAAACGAGGAGGAGAGCAACAAAAAGGAAAAGGGAAGAAAAGCATCACACATTAGCCACCAAACAATGACAATAACATTGATCCAGTGCCTACAGTATGCCTTCTGTTTCACACAATCTATTTACAAATTAATAAAAATTAAATCTCTGTATCATCCCTTAAAGACAATTTTTAAAATATTTTTTATTTATTTATTTATTTTTACAGAGAAAAAGGGAGAGGGTTAGAGAGTTAGAAACATTGATGAGAGAGAAACATCGATCAGCTGCCTCCTGCACACCTCCCACTGGGAATGTGCCCACAACCAAGGTCAAGAAACTTACTCTAAACCAGTGTTTCCCAACCTTCTCTCATGATGAGAATCACCTGGTGGAGTTGTTAAAACACAGATTCCCGGATCCCAACTAAGAAGTGCTAAACTAGAATTTTTGGGAACATATAGGTAAAATTGCATACCTAACTTAGTGCTCTGTATATAAAATCTGTCTTAGAGCACTAGTTAAGTATACAATTTTACCTATATGTTCCCAAAAATTCTAGTTTAGCACTTCTTAGTTGGGATCCGGGAATCTGTGTTTTAACAACTCCACCAGGTGATTCTCATCATGAGAGAAGGTTGGGAAACACTGCCCACAACCAAGGTCAAGAAACTTACTCTAAACCACACAGCTAAGCAGTGGTTCAGGCAGGTCCTTCTACTTCACCATCAACATGCAGCCACTGTGATTTGTCATTGAAATCAGAAGACAAAATCATGGAGCATAAAGCTTGGCACACTGTCTTAAGGATCCCATAGGGATGCATAACTCATGAGGACAGTGCCTCCCTAAAGAAATCCTGCCCAGCTGGCGTGGCTCAGTGGTTGAGTGTTGACCTATGAGCCAGGAGGTCACGGTTTGATTCCTGGTCAGGGCACAAGCCTGGGTTGTAGGCTTGATCCCCAGTGTGGGGCATGTAGCAAGCAGCCAGTCAATGATTCTCTCTTTCCCCCTTTTCTTTCCTCTCTAAAAGCAATAAAAATTTTTTTTTTTTATAAAAGAAATCCTGATTGGATTGTGAGCCCATTTGAGCCCTGAACCTGCTTTGAGTGCAAGGGGAAAGCAGATGGAGGAGAGCTGAGACATCAACAAAAATCCATTTCCTTCCGAAAGGAAAAGCTGAGAGACCAAAGAGGAGGGGTGCGGTCCTTGTAGAAGATGCCGGAAAGGACTAACTCCGAGAGCGTTACTGTCCCTTTGGTGGTGTTTCTAAGGTAGCTGGGTGAGGAGGTTCCGGGCCAGGAAGCCAGCAAGCCAGTTCAGAAGCCAGCCTCAGGCACGGCTGAGGGGAGCTTCTCCAACTGGAAGTTTCCACTTCTCCCAGCGAGCTGGTCCCTTGCACTGTAAGAGCAAGAGGAAAGAAGAGTTTCAGAGCTTGCCTTTTAAATTCTCATTTGCCTCGTTCGCGCTTGAACAAATTATTATTGCTGCCTATGTTACGGTGTTTAATACAATGTAATCAACTTGCCAGGAAGTTAAAGTCTACCCGTTTTATGATTTGTTACATTGAAACTTAAATTTGCATATTAAGCAGCAGAGTCATTAACATGTGTACCTATTCATCAACTATGGATTATAAAACACCTCTCTAGATGAGCCCAAACAGCAAGCCATTTTCTGATTGAATTGCTTAATCAAATGAAAGATAATTAGCAGCATTCTTTTATGTAGCGTTTGTTTTAATCGTTCGCAGCTAAGACAAAGACATTCAGAAACTTGACCAAGTCATCCTCCTAGCTGTTGCGTAAGCATATCTCTGAAAAGGATAGATTGACTCTTCTCTGGGGGAAAAACTGCACTCTAAAATAAACCTCTACAAATCAAGCAAAGCCAAGCAAATGGTACCTGCACTCAGATTCAATTTCATCACTTTAATTTCAATTCAAACCTTCATCGCCGGTGAGGGCTGATCTAAACCCCACTTTGCGGATTTATACCATGCAAAATAAAAAGAGCAGGCAGCCAATGTGCCTGTGTAACTGCAGACTGTCTTTATAAATCAGTGGTGAGCTAACTCAATTTGGTGCTTCTAATCTACACTACAAACACAAATTCCTTCTGCACGCAACGGAAGCCTCCTTTTTTAAAAAAAAAAATAATAATAACTTCAGAGCCCTGAGTGGGCTCGTCTTAACCTCTCTCGTCTCTCACAGTGTTGACCACAGGCTTAGACCTCCTTGACCTGAGTGAACCCGTCTCGCAAACCCAGACCAAAGCCAAGAAGCTGGAGGCCTCGTCGAAAACCGGATCCCTCAAGAAGAAGGCCGATGGCACCGATCTCATCGGGGCGGAGGCCGAACAGAGAGGCCAGCAGCCTCTTCGAGGCCCGGAGACGGCGTCCTTAGATTTAGGTGAGGCAGTAGCTAAGTGTCTGTTGCTGCTCACCCTGGCCCTTGACACAAGCAAGTTCCACCATGACTTTTGCGCTTGGATTAAGTGGCTTTGCATAACTGATAGGGATTCAGTCATTTATCATTCAACCCACATGTATTGAGATCTTGATAGATGGCAGGCACCATACTGGGCATTGGAATGAAAATCAGACATGACTCTTTCACTCTAGTCAGTCTAAAGAGAGCCAGGGGAAAGAGCGGGGCAGGAGATTAGGGTTAGGAAGCCAGCAAGCCAGTTCAGAAGCCAACCTCGCGTACGACTGAGGGGAGCTTCTCCAATTGGAAGTTTCCACTTCTCCCAGTGAGCCGGTCCCTTGCACTATAAGAGCAAGAGGAAAGAAGAGTTTCAAAGCTTGCCTTTTAAATTGTCATTTGCCGAGAGAGAGAGAGGGGAGAGGGGAGGGGAGGGGAGGGGAGAGGGGGGAGGGGAGGGGAGGGGAGGGGAGGGGAGGGGAGGGGAGGGGAGGGGAGGGGAGGGGAGGGGAGGGGAGGGGAGGGGAGAGGAGAGGAGAGGAGAGGAGAGGAGAGGAGAGGAGAGGAGAGGAGAGGAGAGGAGAGGAGAGGAGAGGAGAGGAGAGGAGAGGAGAGGAGAGGAGAGGAGGAGTCCAGGACTGTGCTAATATATGTAACTAGAGGCCAGGTGCACGTATTCATGCACCAATGGGGTCCCTCAGCCTGGCCTGCACCTTCTTGTAATCCGGAATCCTTTGGGGGATGTCAGATGGCCGGTTTGGGCCCAATCCCTACAGGCCCAATCCAGACAGAAGGGAGCCTGATCTTGTCCCCTGGTGGTCAGTGTGTATCATAGACACCAGTCATTTGGTCAGTCAGTTGGTCAGTCAGTTGCTTAGGCTTTTATAAATATACTAGAGGCCCATTGTAAGAAGAGTTTTGTGCAATAGACCTTCCTTCCCTTGGCTTCCAGCACCAGTTTTCCTCCAGCACCCAGGACCCTGGCCACCTTTGATGCAGACTCCAGCCAGAATCTAACTTCTTCATCTTTGCTCCGGCCAGAGTCTGCTGCCTTCTTTTTTGCTGCAGACTCCAGCCAGAGTCTTCCATCTTTGCTGCAGACTCCAGTTGGAGTCTGCCATCTTCCTCTTCACTGCAGACTCTGGAGTTTGCAGTCTTCATCTTTGCTGTGGCCAGAGTGCTGCTCCTATAGATCCCTTCACCCCCTGTCCTCCCTCTCATAGCAGGCGTCCTGCCCTGCCCGGCCACTCTGATCCTGGAGCAGGTGGGCAGCCGCCATCTTTGTCCTTCTAATTTGCATATTCCCTCCTGATTGGCTGGTGGGTGTATTGGAGCGATGGTTAATTTGCATGTTTCTCTTTTATTAGTGTAGATGATTAATATATATTAGTCCTTTCATTCATCCCAACTCTTTGAAATAAGTGAGGAACCAGGTTTTCAAATTTAAATAACTTTCCCAAGATCTCAGTTAGTATGAAGAATTGAAATTTGAGGCTTGCTCCATTTAACTTCAAAGCCCATATTTCTAACCACTATACATCTCCCTGAGAAAGGAGTGCTTAACCTCAGCTCATGGAACCAGTCAAATTAAACTCTCCTTTCTCAGGAGAATGAAGGTGGCAGCCATTTAGAAAGCCGAAGGGAGCATGTATCTCTACAGGCTGAGACTGACTGGTGTGTATGTGTATACCTATGTGTGTGAGTAAATAGCATGTTAGTAAACTATCCATAGGTTGTGAGGATTAAAGGGGATAGATATGTGGAGTTGCCAAGCACTGCGATGTGTACATGTTAGATGGTCATGAATTAATGTATTCATTTGTTCAGTAAACATTTCTCTGAATGCCCACTGAGTTCCATACTATGGGCTAGTTATACAAAGATAAATAATATGAGCTCTCTGCGTTCGTTAAGCTTACATTATCACTTAACAAGTTCACACTTTCGCAGGAAGATAGAAAAATGATTAATTGACTATAATAAAATATGCACTACAGTAGAGTCCTCCGAATTTGCAGTTTTGCTTTTCTGAAGTGTCAGTTATCACAGTCCAAAAATGTTAAATGGAAAATTCCAGAAATCAGCAATTACTACGTTTTAAATAGCATGCCATTCTGGGAAGCATAATGAAGTCTCCAGGGCCCTGGCTCCATCCCACCGAGGATGTGAATCATGTCTTTGTCCAGCCTCTGCGCACCATAGCTGCTCCCTGCCCCTGAGTTCTTCAGCAGCTGTCTCAGGTATCAGATTGACTGTCTCCATAGTGCAGCACCTGTCTCCAAGGACCTCTGTTTACTTAACAATGGCCCCAAAGCAGAAGCATGGTGATGTTAGCAATTCAGATAGACCAAGGAGAGTCCTTGTTTTTTTTCTGGAGGATGTGTAGAGAAAGAAGTGGAAGTAGGAGGACTTGTGGACCAAGTAGACACGTGCATGCCAACAATGAAGACATACAGAATGTGCCGACCTCTGTGATGAGGATACGAGAGGGACGGGGAGGCAGGAAGTCAAGGTGGAAGTTCTGGAGTTGTTTTGAACCTGTTTTACAGGATGGGGCAAAAGTAGGTTTACAGTTGTTCATATCGAAAATAATGCAATAATGGACAAATAATAATACAAGAATAAACTGTGTTTTGTGTACTTAAAATTGTAAGCCTATATTTGCCCTACTATGTATTTGGGGAAACTGGGATTTCTCTGTGGAGATGTCCAATCAACTGTTAAACGTATAGATCTATAACTTGGGAGAGGGCGCTGAGCAGGAAATGTAGATTTGAAAGTCTGAAGCCTGTGAATGGGTATCACATTCATGGGTATAGATGGCCTCACCCCAAAATCATAGTAAACATCTATATATATATAAAAGCCTAAGCGACTGTTATGACCACTCACTATGACATGCACCGACCACCAGGGGGCAGACGCTTGATGTAGGAACTGTCCCCCTGGTGGTCAGTGCACTCCCTCAGCCAACCTTCCACAACCAGGCAACTTCTTGCAATCCCTCTCCCCTGGCCAGCTGGCCCCAATTGGCCCCAATTGCCCCTGATTGCCAGCCAGGCTGAGGAACCCCACCCTTACATGAATTCATGCACTAGGCCTCTAGTTATAATATAACACAACTAGTAGCACAAATCCATGCGCCAGTAGCTCACCATTAGCTCACTGCCACCCTCCATAGTTCTCCACCCACTTCCCCCCACTCCTGTAGTACCACTACCCTCCCCCTGACTTCCCCTCATAGCTTGCTGCCCTGCCCTCTCCTGTAGCTTTCTGCTGCCTCGTATAGCCAGTAGCTCGCTGCCACCCTCCTGCAGCTCTCCACTCCTGCCCCACCCTCCTGTAGCTTGCTCCGCCCCCTACCTCTCCCTCCTAGCTTGCTGCCCTGCCCCCTCATGTAGCTCTCTGCTGCCTGCTTGTAGCTCGCTACCTCACCCCCTTGCTGACCCATGATCTGGTCATTACGCAGTAGGACGTTATGCTTCATGGCGTAATGATCATTTGCATATTACTTCTTTATTATGTAATATGCAAATGATTATACATGTAAAGAAAACTTAAATCTCTCTCTGCTTTTGAGAAAATGCCCTGTGTAAGAAGTCATAAAATTGTTTCATTTCAAGAACTTCGGAGGACACTGAAAGCAAACCAAGTTCTTAATGGGAAAAAATGGACCCAAGATGGTTTAAGTGATTTATTTACAGTCACACACTTGTTAATGAGAGAGAAGGACACACTAGGTCAGATGGAAGAATGAAGCCACAGTGAGAAAATGGTCTGGCATTCTCTTGGCTTTCTCCTTTCTCTCCACCTCCATCATTAATTCCTTTCTTTGGCGAGAACTGCACAGTCTGTATAAAAGCTGTGGAAGGTGTTTTAGTTTCTTGTCGCCTCCTTTTTACAGAAGGCTCTTTAGACAGAATTTCTTTCCAGAAGCATGCCAGGCGTGCCTCAAAGCCATAGTCTGAGCCAGAGGCCATCAGGACCAGCACTCCATGTGCTCATTCCCACGGGGTTCCAGGGGCTCACGCACAGAATGCAGGAGGCATGTAGCTCTTGAAACAAGTTCAGGTAAAACAATGTGATTGTTTAACTGTAAAAGCAATCGCATTTCCTTAATTGGTCTCATTTTTATTTAGCTGCACATGTTTTAATTTTCATGTGACCTTAAAGAATTGGTCTTGGGGTTTGAAAACATCAGTGGAGTGAAGTTCACTTGTCATAACACTTCTCAACCTTAATCAGTCTCTCTTCTCTCTACACCTCCTATTCTCCTCCTATCCCTCTCATCCCCTCTCTGTCTCCGTAATAGACATTCAAACGCAACTGGAAAAATGGGATGATGTTAAGTTTCATGGAGATCGCAGTAGCAAGGGTCATCCAATGGCAGAGAGAAAATCATGCTCCTCTAGAACTGGATCGAAAGAACTCTTATGGTAAGGTATTTCAGTATCAGGAAATAGACAAGTGTCCACTGTATGGTATTTTCCTCTCATGTGCTGAAATAGCTAATGAGTTAAGTCAATCCAAATACTTGGTGCCATGTATAACCCCTTATATATCAACTAAAGGCCCAGTGCACGAAAGTCATGCCTAGGCCTGACCGACGATCAGGGCCAATCTGTGGGGTGGCAGGCAGGGCGATCTAGGAGCCCGCCTGCTGACATGCACTTTGGCTAGCCTGGGGCCTGCGGCCTGGGAGCAACTCCTGCATTGAGCGTCTGCCCCCTGGTGGTCAGAGCATGTCATATTAACCAGTCATCCCACGGGTTGTTCAGCTATTCAGTCAATTTGCATATTAGGCTTTTATCATAAAGGATGTTAATTACTGGGCCTTCTAAAACTGAATTATTCCATCTAAATTGGCTAAAAATAAATCAGCCAATAAGGATTCTGGTAGGTTCATAATATCAATGTGTTTTCTAAATATGTATCATAATTGAGATTATCAAAATAAGTTCATACCTATTTTGTGTGTTTACATTCATGTGTATTCAATACATTATCACATGTGTCAAACACAAGGCCCGCGGGCCAAATCCGTCCCGCCAGGCCTTGCAATGTGGCCCGCACCGCGCTGTCATCACTGCACTCCGCTGCGTTTCCATCACAATGACAGTTTATGACTGTTCAGTAAACCATTCGGCCCGCGATTTAGGCTGGATTTTAGATTTTGGCCCCTTCTCTGGTTGAGTTCGACACCCCTACGTTAGATGAATAATAGTTAAAGTAAATGTTTCTGGTTACACAGGCAACCTTTTCTGACTTTCTTTATCATCCCTGTCAGATAATGTACTATTTAAGAGTAATCCATGGAGGCCATGAGAAAATTGGCTACCTGAATTTTACCATATTTTTAAAGCTTCCTAAAGGGCAACATGTTTTAATCTATTGCCCCTCACACATCTCTACTTATTATGACATTTCATGTTCTTATAAAGATTAAGTCACACCCGAGATAGTTTGTGAGAAAATCTTCCCCCAAAACAATACTTTTTAATAAAACAGAACTTTTTGTAACAAAAATAAGATTACATGTATTTATTTTTTGGCCATACTTGAACTGAATTCTGTCAATAAATCAGAGATAATAACACCTAGCACATCACAGCCACTTAAATTCCAAACAACTTAAATGCATATATGGACACACAAATCAGTAGGCCTGGGGTGTGAGTGTGTGGGGGGGGGGGGGGGTTTGAGGAAGTCAATAGGGTCAAAAGGGGGACATCTGTAATACTTTCAACCATAAATTTTTTAAATTCCAAAGATGGTTATTAAAATAAAAACACGCAAAAGTTATATTTTTCATCAAAATTCTGGTGAGAGTTTTGTTCCTGTGGCTCTCGAGGATCAAAGTTCTCTAGGTTTTTTGGCTGGCTCTCCAGCTAACTGCCTCTCAGTGTGTATCGGTTTCCTTCATTCCCCCTCAGGTCCTCTGAGCACAGATCCCAGCCTGAACTCAGTGCTGGGAAAAGCGCCCTGAACGCCGCCGCTGAGTCAGCTGCAGAGCTGGAATTAGTGCCTCCGACACAGGTAACCGAGCAGCTCTTCAAGGAACCCCTCTTCTCTCATAGCCCATTTCTATCTTAAATAGTTTATTTAAATGTTCACAAAAAGTTCTAAGTATGTTTTCTGTACCTTTTTTTGCATGTGCTTTCTTACTCAGTTATCTGTCTCAGTCCTTAAAATATATACACTGAGTGTGGCCAGATTATTATGATCTCTGAACATATAATAACCTGGCCACTCAGTGTGTGTGTGTGTGTGTGTGTATTAGAGGCCCAGTGTATGAATTCGTGCATGGGTGGGTTCCAGCCAGCCTGGCAAGGGGGAGGGAACATGGGTAGTTGGCCGGCCTATCTGCTGGTCAAACTCCTTGTTGAGGGGGCAATTTGCATATTAGCCTTTTATTATATAGGATATACACAGAATGGCCAGATTACTATGCGTTCAGAGATCATAATAATCTGGCCACTCAGTGTATATATAGTTGACTGACAAATGTGTTAATGATGTTAGTCATTAACATTGTGCTTAGCACTTCCTTCTTTTTCTACCATTTACTGTTCCATGACTTTGCAGTATAAACTCTGTACTACTCCATTATTATCACTATTATTGATATTATCACAAGTACCTTATTATCACTATTGATGTAGCAGAGTACAAAGAAGAGGAAATTACTACAGCTTGCATGTTCATTTCCATCTCTGCCTGTGGAACAAGGTACTTGCACATCAGGATCCTGATTGCCACGTTCAAATGCATTTCAGGGAAGGAATTAATAATTAGAGGAGTAGCAGTAATAGTCATAGCAAAAGCTACCATTTGTGGGCTTTACTATGTACTTTTCACGTGTTACCTCTAATATTGAAATAATCCTGTGAAGTATCATTGGCCTCACTTTAAAGATCCTTCAAAGGGTATCCGTGAAGTAAAAATTCTTTTCCAAATAATCACTGGTGGGAGTGGATGGGGATAGGACCTGCTCGTCTCAACTACAGTGTAACTGGCTTGTCTTTAACTAGTTGCCACCTACAATCTTTTCATTCATTCCAGCACTTTACAAGGGTACAGCAGGGGTCTAAAAATCACAAAGATCTTTTAAGAAATCTGTCTACATTCATGCACTCTGCAGTTTAGTGGAAAATAAAATGGGTGGCATGAAATAAGCCAGAAATTTTTTCTTGAGTTTATTAGATAAGATATTGAAACTAAAAGGATAAATATAGTGTCTGAGGTGAAATAAAGGGATAATTATGATCATAGAAAATAATATTGAATGTATGCTAAGTATATATTAGCTCATTTGATCCAGGAAAAAAAAAATGGTTGTATGAGTTAATATATTAGTCTTATTTTTAGGTGGGGAAACTAAGGTACAGTGAGATTAAGAAAAGTATCTTTGCACCCACAATTAGTAAGTGACAGAGTGAAGGAGGACAGGGAGAGAGGCAAAATGGAAGGCCCCTGGCATCCTTCCCAGGCCACTAATAGCGCCCCCTACAGACACCTCACCCTTCGTAAGAGGTGGGTGGACATTACTGCGCCCAGAACTCTTCTGGGAAACAAGTCAACTACCCTCTGGAGCAAACACCCCTGAGAAGCTTAATGAGTCATAGGTGTAGCATGAAAAATGTATTTTCTTCCTCTTGTTCATTCTAAATGTGTCTTTTGAAGAAGCAAATTGAGAGCATTTATTAGAGAAACGTTTCTTGATAAATGCCTTAGAAATTTAGACCTGACTAAAGTAATTGGTACTGTTTCAAGAACTGGAATCCTTGGAACAGTGAATTGGCACTAGAATGTTTGTTTCAGCATCAGGGGGAGGCTTGGCACAGGTGGGCTGCTCCACAAGGTGGGATGGGCGGGAGATCACTGGAGTCCTGGTTGCCCATGGAGCTCACTATGCATGTATCCTATCACGGTCCTGCCTATGTGCCTTCAAGCAAACACAATGTCTGCCCTCGCATGTGTTTGGCTCTGTGGATAGAGTGTTGGCCTGCAGAATGAAGGGTACTGGGTTCAATTCCGGTCCAGGGCACGTGCCCAGGTTGCACGATCAATCCCCAGTGAGGGTGAGCAGGAGGCAGCCAGTTAATAATTCTTTCTCATCATTGATGTTTCTATCTCTCTCTCTTCTATGTTCTTCTCTGAAATCAATAAATATATAAATACTAGAGGCCTGGTGCACAAAATTTGTGCACTCAGGGCAGGGGGGAGGGTGCGGAATCCCTCAGCCTGGCCTGCACCCTCTCACAGTCTGGGACCATTTAGGGGATATCCACTTCACAGTCTGGGATCCTTTGCTCCTCACGGCCTTCCTGCTCACTGCTCCTTACCGCTTAGTTCTCTGCTCCTTAGTGCTTCCTCAGAGGTGGGAGAGGCTCCTGCCACTGCCATAGCGCTCACCAGCTGTGAGCCCAGCTTCTGCTGAATGCCAGCCCTCCACCCCCTTGTGAGAGCGTACTGACCACCAGGGGGCAGCTCCTGAGTTGAGTGTCTGTCCCTAATGGTCAGTGGGTATCATAGTGACCAGTCCTTCTGCCATTCAGTTGATTTGCATATTAGGCTTCTATTATATAGGATTTTTTAAACCCACAATGTTCTTTGGAAAACATCTCTGAGCTTCCTGATATTGTCCTCCAAAACAATGTAAAATGCAACTGGGACAGTTCTGTCTAGATGAATCATAACAAATGCTTTTAGAGGGTTACCAATTATTTGTAAAGAATGGATCCCTTCGCCGGGACTGGTTTGGCTCAATGGATAGAGCGTCGGCTTGGGGACTGAAGGGTCCCAGGTTCGATTCCAGTCAAGGGCATGTACCTTGGTTGCGGGCATATCCCCGGTAGGGGGTGTGCAGGAGGCGGCTGATCGATGACTCTCTCTCATCGATGTTTCTAACTCTCTATCCCTCTCCTTCCTCTCTGTACAAAATCAATAAAATATATTTTTTTTAAAAATGAATATATATATTTAAAAAAAAAAGAGAATGGATCCCTTCATTTATATTAAAAAAAAAAAATCTTTATCAAGATTCCCTAAAGAAATTCACATTCTTTTCGTTTTAATTCCATCCTGTGGTTAAACTAGGAAAATGTCATGAGCTTAGGATATATTCATCTGAAATGCTAAGTCGTTCAAATGGAGCAGCAAAAGGATAGACTGATTAATCTACTTTGAATAGAAGACAAAAAGATGATTTGCTGTCAGGAGCATACTGTTCTTAAATGTATGATCACTTTATGTAGATAAAATAATGAAGGTAGTATAAAAACTCAACTTAAAACTGACTTGTAAGCTAGTCAAGTAAATAGTTTCAGCTCAGCAAAACTTTCACCGTCCACTCAGATGGTTCCAGGAAAATCCAGGGAATCCTTTCTTCTCTCTCAGGCCAGCATCCAGTGTCGCAGGCTCAAGAGGTAAGCAGCTATTTGCAAGCCACGTTTTAAACAATCATATTTCAGAATTAAAAAATGGAAGCTCACAAAGAGAAGAATTCTTATGTTGGCTCATTTTATTCTTATAAAGATGGAGAGAAGGAAAGACATGGTCCAGTCTCCTCAAAATAGTGTTTTGAATTCACTAATCAGAGTGACAAGAGATTATAATGAATTATGTAATTTCTATGTATTTAAGAAGAGTTTTTGACACTTAAACTGTGTAATTAGTATTCCCTGGAGTTACACGTTTAAAGAAATCATGTGATCTAAAAAATTAGAAAGCATTGGAAGAATTGAAGAAAGACATAGAAAGTAATGGTGTAAAATTAGCTTTTTCCATAAATGGTTTGAGGTAGTGATGAGGCAAAAGTAAAAAAAAAAAAAAAATCCAACTTCTGCTGTTAAATGGTGGCTCAAGCGTTTCTTCTCCTGGACACTGGCAGGAGAGCTCGGGACAGGCTCCTGCCAGCTGAAGCTGGACTTCAAGAGACTGTGTGGCCGCCAGGCTCTCTATACTTAGTCATAATCGTGTAACAATCTGATTTCACTGACTCTGGCACAGCAAATGATTCCTTCTACAGAGTTACAATTCCACCTAGTTGGTAGTGTCCCACAGCAGAACAATACAAACTTGGAGATGTAAATGCAGATATGTTGTCTGCATTTTTAAAGGAGTGATGCAAAAGGAAGTGCATTTAACAGCTGTCATATTCTACACATCCTGTGTGGAATGTGAAATATTTTGAATCTACTCTTTGAAATATTAAAATAACATTGGAAATTAATATCCCCATTTTCGGGTGATTGATGCCTCTTCGAGAGCAGACTCATTTTCCCCAGGTGATACAGCCAAGGAGGAGAGGATCCAGCACTCAATTCACACCCATCTGCTTCTAAAGCCCTTGTTCTTAACCACACACAACATCGAGTCAGCTGCATGAGGCTTAGCCACCCGAGAGAACTCCCAAACCATCCATTTCCATTCTCATTGCAAGCCTGGTTACTACATTTATAGGGCTAGTATGAGTTAAGTGATTTTTAAAGAATATTTATCACTTTCTTCCAGAAGCATTTTAAGATAAGTTAAGATTGTCATCTGATCTGAAACTGAACACAAGTTTGTGCCGCCCCCTATCAAATTCATTCTCAAACTCTTACTCTTGATGGCTTCCATTTTATTCTGTACAACCAATGTGACTGAATGTCTACTATTTATAAAGTGACAGCAAGGCAGTGAAAAAGTTAGAAAGAGGGTTTTGACTACAAGAAGTGTCAAGACCGTTATGCCTAATAGAAAGAGTTAGGTTGTATACTAAAAAGGTAGCTTTGCTTGTTGGAAGACAGTACAGGAGCCACATCCACATTTCCTGTACATACACAGTGAGCTACCACCAATGGGGAAGGAAGTGAGCAAAGATGGAGGGAAAATAAATAAAAGGAAGGCAAGAAAGAAGGAAAGAAAGCTGAAAAATCATTTTCATCCCAGTAGGAAATCTGTATGTACACAGTAGGTATTCAAGAAATAGTTGTTGAAGTTAAAAAATAAGAGAATGCTAGCAAAAAGCAGGAATAATAATTCCTTTTCAA